TTTTTCCTATTCTATAAAGCTTACAAATATTGACTCCCGAAACTGTATCTGGGAGTGGTTTACTTAATGATGTCTTAATATGATTGAGATCATGTTCAAATCTTGCCTTTGGTTCTGTATCTGAAGATCCTTTTATCTTATGAAAAATGACTGATCTATCAGAGAGATCTGCTTGTCACGCAGTGAGGATTTTTCTTCTGATAACATCCCTTCCAATGCCTGGCTGACGAGCTGCGTTTTGCCCACAGCCTTTTTCTTCTTATTTTTTCTTCTTCTTACCGAAGTCCATTTGTCCCCACTCAGAACATCCACACCTGGACTATATGGAACGGTGACAGTTTTATCCGGATCTTCTATTTCGACTAGAGGTGTATGACTGCCGATGTCAGTATCAAGCGACACTTCATTCCTCGTTAATGTCAACGGAGATTTCACGTTCCCGTCAATCGCAGTCAGGTGTTTAACGGGTGCAGTAGCAGCACTTACTACACTGATACATTCTTCATCGTCAGTGCTCCTGTTATCAGTGCTTCCACCATCGTTTTTCTTGCAGGCTAAAGCCAATAGGCCCATAGCCTCCTTAATTAGCACCTTTTTATCCGTACAGCAGAACATACAAAGCCAATGCGAGTTAGGCTTCGAGCATCTTTTGTAAGCCATCGGATTAGGCGTGTACACATTTTGCGCTACCACTTCTTACAATCGTCACACTGCATTCCCTCCTCAACGGAGAACAAACGATTTGGTTGCCCACATTTGTGAGTCTTACCAACCATTGTAATTAGATTTAAAAAGTTTAAAAACACAAAATGATCACTAAGTGAACACAGGTGTTAGTCAAAGAGTAAAAAATGGTGTAGTGGCATTGAACCATAACCACACAATCCGCAAAGCTGAACATGAGACAACTCGGAAAATAGATATTCAATATTTAACACGGAGAAATACCTAACGATGGAGAAGGCGCGAACAATGAGTTGAGTGAATTAGAGTTGATCGAACAACATGGCTCGGCCATGCAGGCGTGGTCCCTGCTGAATGTTATCTTATTTCTTCTATTCATATTAAATATATTGTTCTTTCTCTAGCCTAACCTTGTTCTACATCATGTATTGGTAATTGGTACGATACAGTGAGTTGGCGTAGTCGATGGTGTGACTTCCACGTAAGATCTTATAGATTAGACAGTTATATCATGACGAATCTGTAAATTTAGAATTAGGTCTATTATTAGAGCAGTACTAATATCATAGTAGACCATAGTTCTACATTGGTGAGCCCAACTAAAGAAACGCAACCTATTATTGTTAATCTTTATTTCCACCTTAACCTTCTCAATCGGTTTTTATCTTTGTAAACCCAGTATTCTAATAGTCCTTTGATTAATGGTCACATATATTATCGTAATGTTATATCTATTAGTTCACATAACTTACTAGCTCAATCGATAATAAAAGTTGATCATCTATATCAACTAATTAGCTTTGATGGTTCGTTAACAAGCTTTAATAGCATTTACCTGCTTCAGCGACATAGACTTGTTTAAACATCAAACTCTAGCAAATATGACCTGTAAATAGCGTAAATATACATTGACTAACAATGCAATCAAGGATTGAATAGTTATCTGGATCTAATTCTCAGTGTTCCTTCACTTAACACCTCATCCTGTTTTAAACTATGCACTATCCTGTAATATCTTTTCTTCCGACCACTGCCTGCCTAATTTCATATTCTCGAGTTCCATTGCCAAACAACAAGGATGACACTTCTCCAAAAACATACGGTGAGTTCCAGCTATAGGTTTTCTGCAATCATAAGGTTATTTTTAGATGGTTCGTTCAATGACAACCACACAATTATCTGGGTTCATTGGATTGTTCTGATCCGAGCGAGTGGCAAAAACCTCAACAGCATCAAGCACCCTGGAATTAATTGCCATACTGCATGTTTTATTCTGGATGCTTTTGGATCAATACTACTCACGAATGGCTTTATATATGTCGTCCACTGAATAATATAATTTTCAAAAATAATCCAGGCGAGTTCAACTATTTTACTGGATGATTTTTTTTGTACTTAAGATGTATATATTTTTCAGTTGCTTTTGCCATATATTTGTAAGTGTCACTAAGCTAAATGCAGTAACTTCTTATGGAAGGTTTATAATGCATCATACTCCTGTTTGAAGTTTCACAAGCAGTCTTAACTTTAAAATTATTTATTTGGTCATGTTCATTATTTTTAAATTGTCATATACGTCAACAACCTGCTTGTTAATCTGGCCCGTACATACGTTACACTATATCTTCATGTCTTCTAAATTTAGAAATCATCTGGATCGCCCTTAACATTTATCAATAAACCCATCATAGTCGTTGTTGCTAATCGTATTTGGGTTTATGGATTGGTTTATCATATTAGCAGCCTAAAATGCGAACATAGTTTGGATAATAAGATTAAAAATTTAGGTACTATCAACTGCACTAGTAAAATAACTAAATCCCCAGGTAGCTGTTGGTTAAACAAACGTTTAAAATCAAAACTCCTTAGCCTACTAGAATTAACACTAAACGAATCTTTCTGAATTAAAATTTATAGTTAAATTAGGTGTCTCGGATTCTTTAACGTTATAAATTTCTGATGATTTCGAATCACCTAAAGCAACAATACCTATTTTTACACTGACTAATCCTCATTCAACACTATAACTAGTTAAATTTAATAGTTTCAGGATATCGTCATAAAGCATTGTCATAACTTGACAATCACGTAATATGACTGATAAAATAAATGAAACTATTAACGAAATCGGTCAACAAATTGACTTATAATTACCATTAAATGGTGTTGTTTTCTTGGTATCTTCATCCATCACAGATGATTACAGTATGTTTCTCTATCGGTTGCTTATTCAGTAAATATCTCAAAACCTTGTCAGTTTTATTGATGGTTTAGCGACACAATCATGCATGCAAATAATCAGTATAAGCAGTCGAGCAAATCTCCTGCAAACTGAAAACATCAATGTCGAATTTACCCCAACACTGACTAAGGTTCAAGCCATTATCATAGACATGAGTTGGGAGTGTACTCCCCTTGGTTACAACTTATGTACTCCCTGATAATCACATGAGCATCAATCACTATTACTCATCTTGTAAAAACTTATTTAGCTAAATACATCTTGCAACACCACATCACTTAGTAATATGACACATAGGCTTAACTGATTTCAATAACTTATAACCACTACATCTCAGTTAAATCGTGTTCCGCCTTATAATAAACTGCATACTTGCAACTAACTTGTATGTCCAATCAGCCGGCAAGTATAAATACAAGTAAATAGTCTGCCACAGATCAGAACATTGAGTCTAGAGCATGTCTCTTACGAACACACTCATGTTTAACGATTTTTCCTAGCTATCTGTCCAAAATCCATATAATTATCACTCATGTATTTAAATTTTATTTTGATAACCATTCATGTGTATTAGTAGTATTACTAAATTCTATCACGGTCAAGTAAAAATGAGGTTGAGAAAATCTCCCCGTAACTAAATAAACCGTATCAAACTAACTGGAACACTAGTTGGAATTCTTCTCCACGGTATACTTTTGTTCCTTCAGTTAGCCTACTAATACAGATGCAATTGGAATTCAACTCATATGGACAACTTACCGGCCTGCTTCGGTCTGGGCACCCGGGCAGTAACGCAGCCCACACGCAATTAATGAACTGAAATTGTGCGGCGCATATATGTTTGGCGCACTCTTGTACCAATATATATGTGTTCAAATAAATAAATAATAATAAATAATAACTTACCGGCATAATCGTTATTTGATTTCATAATTTAAACCAAAACTAATACCAATATTAACATTTCTACAATATTCATTAATTTTAATATTTCTAAACACAAAATACATGCTACCTATGAGTTATTAACCAACGGCTATTAACACGCATCGTTTTATTATTATTATTGTAATCCCATTTTTTATAGCTCAAATTATCACCCAAATTTTCATTTCAAGTATGTTAAGCATGAAGGCAGATATTTTAAAATTATTACATGTATTTCTCGACCAGGTGCTGCCGCCTTCTTTTTGATTTATCTTTCAGCTTATCATTACCCGGGGGATTCTTACTAGTCTTGGAACCACCGGCGAGCGACGATCCCATCCGATTTGGTATCGAACCAACACCACGTTGATTCTGGTGGGAGAGTAGTGTAGTGGCATTGGACCATAACCACACAATCCGCAAAGCTGAACATGAGACAACTCGGAAAATAGATATTCAATATTTAACACGGAGAAATACCTAACGATGGAGAAGGCGCGAACAATGAGTTGAGTGAATTAGAGTTGATCGAACAACATGGCTCGGCCATGCAGGCGTGGTCCCTGCTGAATGTTATCTTATTTCTTCTATTCATATTAAATATATTGTTCTTTCTCTAGCCTAACCTTGTTCTACATCATGTATTGGTAATTGGTACGATACAGTGAGTTGGCGTAGTCGATGGTGTGACTTCCACGTAAGATCTTATAGATTAGACAGTTATATCATGACGAATCTGTAAATTTAGAATTAGGTCTATTATTAGAGCAGTACTAATATCATAGTAGACCATAGTTCTACAATGGTACTCAGGACAAAATTTAGCAAAAAATTTCAAACTTTAACCAAAGTACTCTTAGTTAAAGTAGATCAAGAATGCTTTTTAGTGCAATAAGTACCCAAAGCAAGTATAATCACAACAAGTACAAAAATCACTGCAATTTTTGAAACTAGCGCGTCGAGTATTTTTAAACAAAACATTTACAGCCAATAATGGTATTTACACAAAATATGCGAAATTAAGAAGAGAAGTGAATAATAACAAAAACTAATTGTCAAATAAGTTTATATTTGCTACTTCTTCAAGGTGAACTGGGTAGTGCTTTTTTCAAAACGTCTACATTTTCTGACTTGTTTTCGCATCATAATGATACGTGATGTAAGTCTATGCATTTCGTTCATTTTCCGTATAAACCGTTTATTTTAACGTGATCGAAGATCAGACAATGCTTCTGATGAATCAGGCAGAAGACTAGGGACACAGGAACAGTTAGAGAATTATTCGTCACTCCGTAAGATATTTCTGACCTTATCAAAAGTATGGCGAGACTCTAATTTTCATTTGATTTATAGTTCTCAAGGTCTAAAATGCAGAGCGATTTGTTCAGTAGTAGCCAACGTAGTTAGCATTTTTGGGCAATAGGTAGTTATTCTGATCGACGTGTCATGGTAATCAAGCTAGAGTGTAGTTACCAAAACAAGTGAGGTCAACGATATCGAAGACTTACGGAACTATTTGTTTTGGGGATTGATTCATCGTTACAGACACTAGAAATTAGACTAGACCTTTGAGATTGGGTTTTTTACATCTGTAAGTGACATTAATCAAGATGCTATTACCGTTTATAACCAATGTATGTGGATTGACTAAGACACTAAACTATGATTCCCTATTTAGGAGACTCCGGTCACCATTGCAGTTCATGTGGACGTAATTTTTGCGACACCCGACGCTAACCCTAACTGTCTCATCTCTGACTGCCGAGAAACATTCAGCTCAATGCTTCAAAACCTTTTTCGTCTGTCTGTAGAAGCCATTTAAAATTCCTACCACTCATTTTTAATGTAATTTCCAGTCGATAGGTACCTTCAGGCGTCTTTTAATTCTTATCCGATGTGCCCTTCATAGTGATAAGTTTATTTTATCCGTGGTTGAAAACCTTTTCAAGTAACCGTGCCTTTATTCGCTAATGTACATATCTTCGATGAAATAGCTATTGGTAGGTTTAAAAACAGCAATTTGTTATGAAAACTTTTGGCTTCTGTTAGTTCTTTTTTGTCGGCTTTCCACTTCTACTAAAATTGGATACTGCCTCTGGGTTGTAGTTGAGCTCTTGTTCATTATACTTTCTTAATCATTATTCAAAATTTTTGGCTATGGGAACTACTATCACACGTAACCTGTTTCTTCTATCTTTCTAAGACATTTTAAGCATTGTATTTTGAATAAATTATCACTAATCATTAATTTCCGCTTGGTCGTTTTCAGAATTAAACGACTTTTATTCTGAGTAATAGCTCTTGGTGATACTCGATTCTCAGTGTACCGTTACTTTGAAATATTTCACAGAATTAACCGTCAAAATATCAGTGGAAATAAATCTACTTGGCATTTTATCATATTGGCCAAAGCAAACTTCAGCATATTAGATATCATTTATCCACTTTCTAATCTTTCAGACAACTGTTTTACTATGAAATATCTACACGGTACTTTTATGATTAGTTGTATGTCAGTTCCCTCAAGTTTTTATAAATGTTAGGTTTATCACAGTTTTTGCTGCTTAACATACTTCCTTTTGTTTTTAACAATGCCATAGCCATCCGAATTAGTTCACGGTAAATCAGTCGATATAGAAAAGCCTCGATATGATCAGTCCACATACATTGGCAGAGCCAAACACTTTTTTATTACAACTAATCCTTTGAACGCATTCAAAACATCTACTGAATTAGAAGAAGCAAGGACCATCGTTCATAATTATAGGTGAGTATGTGGTCATGTGTTGCTATAAAATAATTACAGGATAGGGATTATTCAACCTGGTTTAACTGTAGAAAAGCTTTGGCAAGCAAAAAATGTGTACGATTCAGCGTTCCATCCAGACACAGGAGAAAAAATGATACTCATTGGACGCATGTCATTTCAAGTTCCTGGGAATATGTTTATAACGGGTTGTTTGCTACAGTTTTACAAGTGAGTAAATTAAACGTTTTAAAGCTTTTTAACGATAGCAAATTATTTAGTGTGTTATTTAAGTTACATATACTAATTATTTTAGGATGTTGCTAGATTTTTAGGTTGTTCCATTCATCATTTTGGACCTTGGGCGTATGTTATGACTATAACGTCACATCAAGGCAAGTGCTGATTGAAAGCGTACAACGAAGGTTTTAGTAACTAGAATCGGCGAATATCTAGAAGCTTACAAACTGAATTAAATTGTATCTATGACCATATCCTTGATTCTAGTAGCGCTTACTCTTTTGTATACAGTATCTGGGCAGTGCTGCAGAGAAAAAGTGACCGAATGTATACATCCATTTTTGATTAGTTCGTTTAAACAGCTGTTTCACAAGGAGGTAGAGCGAAATAAACTTATCCATGAAATTATTTTTTTGTTGCAAAAACGTCATAGGCTTTGTTGGCTAGTGTTTCAATATGTCAAGTCTCAGTTTGGTATAGAAATATCGTTAATAAAGTGACATACTACTGTGCAAAACCTTGTCGAAGATTATGAATTCGCAACTAACTGGGATTCCACCAGATTAAGATTAACGGCGTTGGATGCCGGGTCAATGGTTCAAAGGTTCGGTGTTCGCGCGCGAGATCGAAGGTCCTGGGTTCGTGGCTGCTCACTTCCCATACTAGGATAAAACTGTCAGGTTTTCAATAGTGGTCTAACATTGATCGATTCATGATTTCCGTGAAACTAAACGATCTCTACGACCCTATACTTGTAAATTGAAACAGTTGAAATGTCCTACAATACTGTTTGTTTTATGCCTGCAGAACTTCATACCAGTTAGTTTTATCAATCCACCCGATGAAAAAAGCTGACAAATCTGTTAAAAATTTTTCGGTCTGTCAGCTGTAGAATGTAATGGGTTTATTTATCTATCTTATTATTACTGCATTTAGGTCTACACCGGCTGTCATATTTTGGCAATGGTTTAACCAAACATTCAATGCCGTTGTAAATTATACTAATCGTAGTGGTGACGCACCTATTTCATTAACGTAAGTTTTATTGATCGTTTTTAAGCAAATCTATCAGTGTTTGTCATGAGTGCTTGCTGAAAATCACTCCGTCTATTTTACACATTAACTGTGGGAGGATTTTAGACTACAGAATAGATGTTTAATCTAACGTTTCTAATGTGATAAAAGCCGATTAAACAAATCTTCGACATCCTATTCTGATCCTTTTATTTCTAATATACTGACTTAACTTAAAATACGTATTTGAAAGCATACACCACTTAGGATTTGAACGTGATAGTTTGTAGTTGATTACCGCCCAGTCAAAACATACTTGTCCATTTGAATAGTAATTGCGGTTTTTCTTCGTGCTGTTCTATATAATTGGGTTAGCATTATGGTAGATTTCTGATCTGTCAATAGTAGATCATGTCGAGTTGTTCTATAGGTATTACCTAATCAAACTTTAAAAGAAATTTAGGTTCCATTATTTATACTTATTCATGTTAACCTAATTAACCAGGTATATCTGTTCCATGGATTATATTAGTATTCTATGGAATTAATTGATTGTCTTTGTCCATCTTTTCTTGGTGATATCACCTAATAATCTAAGAACTAATGTACGTGTATCGTTATGACGTTGGTTCAACGAATTTGTTTGGCAGACGTCAATCAGCACCAAGAACTAAAGTCTATAAATTGTTACTACAGTATGATCGATAAAAAGACTTCCTACAATAAACTGATATATTAATGGTGTTTAAAAAACAATGCTAAATTTTTACTTTGCAGAGTGGTATTGAGAGTGATGTTCGAGTGCTCCTTGACTTACGGTATTATCTAACACTAGAATGCCTGAAATGCCTAGGATAGATTTTCGAAGTTCCAAACATACTTGTAAACTCAACTTTGTATACTCTTTTCACTACAGTAGTTGTCTAACTTATATTAGAGATATATAAGTGATAGAAACATATTTGTTTTATTCCATGCTTGCAACTATGTGAATAAATTTAAACAGTTTAATTAAATTTGAATACCATGTGTAAATTTTCTGTATTTACACAATTAATGATAAATGTGACGAACTGACGTCAAACAAAATGAAATACCCATAGTTTCCAGGGTCAAGTTTAGTAACTTGGAGTTATTCTAGAATGACAGGGAAATGATTAGATTTAAAGCCTTGATGCAATGAAAGTTGGGCATAATAATGCGTTTTTTTTAATGTATAAAACATGTTGAGTTTTTCCTGCGTTATTTGAAATATACATCTTTAAGCTGTCTACTCAAATAATTTTATTTTCACCATGAGTAAAAGTTGCGACTACTTTCAGAAATTTTAGCATATGGTTACTCTTAACAGTAAAGTCTTGTCACTTTTATCACCACTATCTGAAATTTACAATAAAAATCCTGAATTTTAATTATTTTCTGAGTATAAATAATGATATTTCAGTGGTAATGCGGATACAAAGTTTTATCCATTGTTTTGCCTACTACATCAGTCGGTTATATTTAATCACCACCTTTCCAGACATCTACTTCTGGTTAATCCAAAATTAGGTCGGTAAAAAGTTTAGAGTCAGTCGTGTTCAAACATAGCATCGATATTGGTGGGAGTCGACTTCTTAGTTGGATCTCGCACAATATCCGTAATCAATGACTGAAAATGTTAGTCGACACGGATTACTTCGATCCATTCTCTTTGTTCCTATCAATTACAAGTTAAATGTCATTTCGAACCTTCTATCTTAAATGTGATGGCTTTCTTTATAAAATGATATCAGCTGAAAATCGGTTGAAAACAACAAAACCATTGGTTGACCGTTTCGTTTCACTCTTAGACTCCTTAACAAGATCGAATCCGGAAAGTTCATATTCTACTATTACTCTCTAGACCCTAATCCAACTACTTGTGTTTTCGATTGCACTTGGTTCACAAAACAGCGCAATCATCATCCAGTGTCGTCACTCGGTGGTTATCAACTTCACTGTTGAAACGGTTGACTTTAATGTTCGTGGCTGTCCTGTAGAATTTTAAGAAACCCACCTCAAAGCTATTGAATAGTAACTAAACCTTAGTCATTTAGTTAAGAAAGTTTTAAAGATTTAATCAGCAGGACTTTTTATCATGGACAGACATTTTCTGTCTCCTATTTCAGAAAACGTTAACAAATGATAGGTGTGTTAATCTATTCAAATCGTATTATGAGTGGTTTGCAAAGTCCATTGAAGTCACCGACTAACCTTACTTTCGCTATTAATAAAAGCTAAAATGTACTAAACTGCTTTATCGTCCTACTACCGGACTCCTCTAGATCACGTATCCACAATCCCACCCCAGTGACAGAACCCAGTGCATTCAGTTCTCACGGTTGTGGCCGATGGAGTTCAACTATGTCATGCATGAAGCGGATACCTACCAATAGTATTGGAAGACAAATGCATAAACCTATCTCGTCCTAGTTATAGAATTTATGACTATATTTAGGACTATATGTATAGCTCCTACCAACTGATCCGTACCCTGTTACATAATTAATTAAAAGTTTACCAAAATCTAAAACTTAAACAGCAAAAACCGATCTGTTTGTCTAGATTTCATCCAGACTCTAACTATAATTTTTTCTAAAAAATAACGAGATTTAACGGGTAGAAAAATTATCTGACCATTGGCTATTCATAGACATTTCCTTAATGAACAGAATTATGACAATTCTTTTCTTTATGATCAATGACTTAGAGTTTTCTGTTACATTTTATTGTCATTGGTTAGTAAAAACTGGATATTCATTGGTAGAAAAGAAATGAGTAGATAGATGGTAGGAGTCCATTTTTGTCGTATTTAATCAGTAACACATACCATTCATAACCTTTCTAGTCAGTTAAACAAAAATCCTCAATACCATAACCCGTAGCTCTTGAATGCTCACTCATTTTAACAGGTCACCAAAAAATATTATTACGCGAAACTTACGATTCCCCAGTACGGGGGTTGTGGAGATTATTAAGTTTTTGATTTGGATCATGAATCGATTGATGTCAGAGTACCATTGAAGACATGGAAGCGCTGGATGGCCGTTTCGTCCTATTGTGGGACTCCTAAGCAGTGCGCATTCACGACCCCGTTCGCGGGATTTGAATCCAGGGCTTTCGGTCTTGCGCGCGAACGCTTCATGATCTCAGCCAAAAACTTAATAATCTCCACAACTCCATACTGATAATTACCATGTGCTTACTAGTGAACAGCTTCGTGAGGGAATTCTCGAAGTTCTAGTGAGAAGCCGTGACCAGTGAATCGAATCCGTGTCAAGTAGAGACAAGTATCTACCCCAGTGCACACGATTTCTATTTTTTTTATATTGAGATTGATTGAAAATTCATTGATATTTGTCACCAAACGAAATAATTACATGAAAGTTAAGTAATTTTTATTGTTTCTTTGTAATACCCACTATTTTGGATAAAAAGAAGTATAACTTTACTGAACGCATATATCAATTTGCAACGTTTTTTAGTACAGTTTTCTATTTGTTATATTACAGTTTTGTAAATCCATAAATTCCATAGATTGGATTTCATAACGTTAAACAAACTAAATAGTCTTCATTTTATTTAATGAAAATTTATAGCTTAGATTATTGAAATATCTTTCTCTCCTATATAGTAGAAATACCACATTTTCATTATTTTCATTATATTTGTGTGTGGGCTGTGATACTGTCCGGGTGCCCAAACCGAAGCAGGTAGCCTTCTTAGGAGGCCACACCCCGAGCCTTTGACCTAAAGGTTTAAACCACAAGGCAGTGGAGCATCGTGAGCAGATGCAGTCCCATTGTAGCCGGTGACCAACGATTGGTTCATACGCTATGTGCACCATTGGTTTGGGATCCGGCTAAAGCATCGGACATTCGCTTTTCGTCCTCTCAATTTCGCAAACAACACCCCTGCCACGAGAAGGCAGTGAGTAGGACTTCCCTGGCAGACGCTGTATACGCGTGGTCGTGTGAGAGTATTTCGAGAGGGAGGGCGGATCCACCCCAATCCCGGCCATACCAGGATATAGTAGAAATACCACACTCAAATTTTTTAACAAATTCCTCACAAATAAAAAACAATTTCGATAATGAAATAAGAAGACAAAGATTATCAGAACTATGCGATAATATATTAGCGCAATACTTTTCGAACAATCTGATCATACATTACTTGTTATGAACATTTATATATATAAAAGAATAAATGGTCACCTAGACTAGAAATGGAAGGTAAGAGGAGACAAGGATAATAATAAGAGTAATAATAATAATAATGTGAACGCAATTTGAAACCTAAGTGCTTTGGTGAGAGACTACTATATTTCTTGTTAATCTCTTGAAAAATAATAAAGTTGTATTAAATAGAGTATCATTCCAAACCTACCTAGAAAAAGAACAACATTGAGTTTTTATTTGAACAACCAAACATTTTGCAATAAATAAATGTAATTCTTCGTCTCACGTTTCATTTGTAATCAATTTTAACTATCCATGTCCACTTACTTACTTACGCCTGTTACTCCACATGGAGGAGCATAGGTGGCCACTCACCAATATTCTATGTGTGTACGGTTAGCCTTGATTTTAATTAAAAATTTTGTCTACTACATATTAATTTCAAATAAAATCGTTTTGAAAAAAACTTTTAATTCGATTGTTAGTATGTTTTTTTTACGCTACCAGGTCAAACAATACAACTTTTATTCTTTTTCAACATAAAAGGTGTATACATAGATTGGTTCTTATAAATAATAAAAATGTTGACAAGTTTAAGTGTTTAGTATTATACAACACAATTGACCTAGTAAACAATTTTTTTAATTTGATATTTCCATTGCTAGTAAATATCGAAAATTTGATCATGTCTAGTTTGTAAACTTGAATATAGTATATATAGTGATAATTAGCCCAGTGATTGAATTTACAATCGATGGATCACTGAGTAGTAAGCAGTATCATACTTACTTAGTCTTTCAGTGCTTATCGAATTTTATT